TTCAGAAACAATCATATCTTTCTTTTCTGGTTATAGGAAGCAGGGCAGTGGTTTATGCAGAATGCTGCTTATAATGCCAATGTTTTTAGCTTAGATCTAGCCACATATTCTGGGCCTACCTATACACAGAAGGCAGCCTCAAGTCCTTCCCAGTCTGAGCTTAAATTTCTCCATTGTAACTCTAGCCCAGTCTCTGTCCACCACTGTTTCCCATGGCTGTCTCTCACCCAGTCACTATGGTATGGTAGTACAGATAACCCTGAAATGAAGTTATTTTTAGTTGTTCTGTAGCTTCATCTTAAGTAATCAATCCCTTTTTAAATGGCACCTTATTAAACACTTTCTGGTAATATGTCAGGTGCAAAAGGAGATTCTTTCTTCTATTGTTGACTGTTTTATAGAAGGGTTCACTTTCAAAGTGAAATCCTGTGTGGTTTTGGAACTTAAAATAGCCAGTGATTTTTCTTCAAGTAGCATTGATTCTTCTGTTTCTCCCTGAAGTTCTAACTCTGCAGCCTCCCTTTTATTTTAGGAGACAGGTTTCCCTACCAGGTGTTGGGGTGAGCATCTGAAATCCTTTGTTATGTTTTCTGGACTGTGCTCCTTAAAGAGGATGAGCTTCCTTCTTCCACATTTCAATATCCAGAATTCTCATTACCATCTATATGGCTGAATAATATTTCCATTTCATGGTCATAGGTTGGTTTGTTCCCCCATTCCTAAATTAAGAGGCATTTGAGTTACTTCCTATTTTAACAGCAATAAATAAAAATACAGTGGTACCTTGCTTGATGAGCACTTTTGTTTGTGAGCAGTATGATTCACAAACCGAAGTGTCTGTTAAAATTTTGTTTCTGTTTACGAACTCTACATCAGGTAATGGACATGACCTTGAATATCTTTCCTGCATGAACACAAATGCAGACATTATTTCTAGAATTGTGGAATGAATTAAGTTCATGAACTGAGATACAACTGTACGTAAAACATCCATGTACACATTTTATATTAACCATATTTTATTTTAATATTTTATTTTACATTGCATTGTATTTTTATTTTTCTTGAGCAAATACCCAAAGATATTATTTGATCATATGATCAACATATATTTAGTTTAATGAGAAGACTCTATTCTTGTCATCGTGTCCTTTTGTATACCTACCAACTATATATGAGTAGGAAAGGAAGAAGTGAAGTTATCATTATTCACAGATGACATTATACTCTATACAGAAGACACCAAACACTCCAGCAAAAGAATTCTAGGCTTAGTAAACAAATTCAATAGCATAGCAGGATACAAAGTCAGCACTCGAAATTCAGTAGCATTCCTGTACAGAAACAAACTCACTGAAACAATTAGGGAAAATCACATCCTTTGCTATCATATCACCAAAAATGAAATACTTAGGAATCAACCTAAAAAAATGAAATAAAAATGTCTATACAATGAAAAATATAGTACTTTGAATAAAGAGATGAAAGAGGATACCCAAAAATGGAAAGATATCCCTCGCTCATGGATAGGAAGAACCAACACTGTGAAAAAGGCAGTACTCCCCAAACTTCTATACAGACTTAATTCAATCCCAGTAAAAATATCATTAGCAGGGCTGGGGACATAGCTCAGTAGAATAAGCGCTTGCCTGGCAAGTGCAAGGGCCTGAGTTCAATCTCCAGTTCCGGGAAAAAAAATATAT